CTGCAAACGATCACCTCGCATTCCTCCGACTGATTTATTAAGCCACTGTAAAGGTCAGCAAAGAAACCCAGGTGCTGCATGGAATGTTTCTGAGGCTAGTTAGTCCCCAAATTGCAGAAGCAGCATGTTAGTTCCTTGCATCAGGAAAGCACGATTCAATAAACAGGGTTAGTACTGTAGGTTCTAGTCGGTATGTCTGACTTGCCTAAAAGGACTGCAAAGTGAGCCCTTTTATGTCTCTGCTGTCTGGTGACTGCGATTAAGGGCAAGGCACTATGGAGCAGGCCTCTGGAGAGAAATACATTTCCTTGGCTTGTTCCATGGAACAAGCATTTAGGGATTTGAGTCTGTCACCGTCACTTCTATTTGGACAGCAGCAAGTTCCGGACATCTCTAATACTGTGCGTGATCTGAATATAAATGTGCTTTTCATTTTCTTAAACCTATTCAAATGACATTCTTGTTCCTGCTGCAATCTAAATTTTATATAGCCGCATATTACACTTTATGATGCATTACTTTACAATGTGATGCTGTAAAATTAGGCATATTTTATATTACAATGGGGAAAGTTTTCTTTCAAACATATGACCCAAGAGATGGGAGATTCACATATGATGATTCCTATGGTGGACATAATATATAAAGAAATAAACTGGTTATAAGAAACAAAGAGGAAATATATTTGTGGATTCTGCACACTATTCATTTTTCATTGATTTTATTTGTGTCTCTTTTTTAAAAGTTAAAGATTTGTAGAAAGCATGATAAACTCCAATTATGAGATGGTCAGTACCAAGGATTTTTCTTTTATTCTTTAGCAATTTTTAAAGTCATTTTTTCAAAGAAAACCTATTTACAAGAGTAGAAAAATGAAGGTATTTTAGTTAGAAAAAAGGTGGAAGTTATGATGTACTTATTTTAGAATTTAGATCAGCTAAGTTGCATTTTAGTTCATTAACTCCAGAAAAGGTGTTTTATAAACTGACATTTAATACCTAAAAAGTGACATCACCAGTTATGTGTCATGTTCCACAGGTAGCCTCCGTTTTTATTTTACATTGGGACACTTATGAAAACTACTACTCACACAGTACATTGCCACCCCTAGCTGTCCAATTGAAACATGCGCATCAATTTCTTCATGGTATAAATCAGTCCATATTGGTGTCCCCAAGACATGAGAGGTTTACTACACACACACTAGATTTTGCAGACTGCATCATGCAATTATCAGATTCCACAGAGAGATAGGGAAGCAGCAAATGCCAGTGGCTACAGTGTGTATAATAAGTAGAGCACTACCCAGACTGGAAACAGATAGAGCTTAGATTTGAAGTAGCCACGTGAGTTGGCAAATTACTTAACCTCTCTGGATCTCAGCTGCTTGCTCTGAAAAACAATAACCATCATGGGGATTTTGTAATTATTAAATAATAGATATCAAATGCCTGTCAGGGTAGGTGTCCTGCACATATTTATTTCCTTCATCCCTGCTTGCATGGACAAACTGATGCTAGCTTTGCTGTCACTGTTGTATCTACCTAATGGAGACGTGAAGAAACCCATCTGTTTGTTGTTCTGGACTAGGACTATTCCCACAACTCATTGGTGGCAGGAGAACGTTGCTCTCTTCACCCCTGGACTGATGCTTTTATGATACCTGCCTCATAAAAATTTCAGCCTATAGCTGAGCTTTTCGAAACAAATGCCAATATAGAACTTCCTACTGCGGCAAAGCCTTTTAGAATAATGAAAAGTCACTAGGTCCTATCTACCTGAAGCTTTCTGATTCTATTGGCATTGGAAAAGAAGTAAAACTTTCCCAGCAGTTCTAAGAATTGTATTTTTATGAGCTTTGTGGTAATGGTATTATATTTTACCGTTAAACTAAACTACCTCAAACTGTCCCATAGGGGATTACAGAGATATCAAGGATATCCAGGGTGGGAGAAATTTTATTAATGAGTTTCATCAACACACTTCTGTATTTGTTTTTAAATAATTTTTATCTCCTAGGAGTATGTTTTGTTGGCAGCCTGCAACCAATTTCATGTTGGTGGAGAATATGCTTAAAGAGGAAGCACAAGTGCATAGCAAGACCCAACAGCCTTCTTCTAAAGAAATAACGACACCACTGCAAACAACACGAATGCGAAAACATTCCAGGTATAAAGAAGAAAAAGTCAAGGTTTTTTTTTTAAACAGAATATTAAAAGTTGCTCATTCGACCTTTGCTTTGACACAGAGAAAATGCCACTTATACAGTCAGAGCAAAATATTGCGAAGAGGATTCCTAAAGGATGACTGGACAAAATGTTTTAAAAAGAGGCAGGCACCTCTCAGAGTAAGGCTGAAGATAGAGTCACCAAAATTCAGACGTAAGCTGGGTGCAGGAGCCCCTGTAAAGCAAGGCTGTAGTGAAGAAAGAGGCGGCCGTGCCAGGGGCTATTTTCAAAGACCAGAGCTCTACACTGGTAAATGCAGTTCCTCCAGCCCTCTCCCCTCTCCCTTTCACCAGGTTCAGCAAAGGCGAGGGTCCTGCTCTCTTATTACCATCCTTCCCCACTCCCGTGAGCCTCCCTGTTCAGCTACCCAGCAGGTGCCCTGCAGGTTTCTCAGCATCGTCTCACCCTTCCCCCACTTCCTATGGCATCCATCCGCCCCTCCCTTCCTCTGGGCAGCTTCCTCTGCAGTCAAAGGCTTCAGTCAGGAGCCAGGGTAAGCTCATGGACCTCAGATCTCTGAGGGTGACCTGAAACTCAGAGGGAAGGGAACTGGCACAAAGGAAATGAATTCATGAATACCGAAGGGTGTGGTGTAGGCAGACTCACACAGCGGGAGTGAAACAATGTGGTTTATATGGGGGCAGGTAAAAAAAAAAAAAACAACATTCTGCCACTTTTCATCCACATTTGGGTAATTGGGAGCAGAAAAATATGGCGTATCTAGGTTCTCTCCCAGCCCTCTCATTCTATCCAGAGAAGCCTTCCCTACTGTTGAATCACCGATGAATGGGAGAGACCAAGGACATGTGGGCTATTAAAAGTCATCAGAAACAGTGTCCTACCATGTCTGCCAGGGCCAAGCAAAATTCAGGACAGCCTAATGGCTTAGGCTTGAAACTCTAGAAGAATAGAGCCTGGATGAATAAACTAACAATGTTTCTAAAGTTGCATTATTTGAGACAATAGAGATTGCTTAAAAACAAACCCCAGGAAAGTTACCTGCTGCAGTCTTTCCCTCTACCATGAAGAGGGTGGGGATCTCGAATCGCAGTTTTTTGTTTGAATGTTTGTTTGTTTTTTTGAGAACTGCAAAGCACCTCGGAGATTAAGCCTCACCTCCGCCCTCGCGTCTGGACAGTGCGGTACCTCCGGGAGCAACTGTGGTGCTCGCTCCAAGTACTTCGCCCTCTCAGCATCACCCTGATAGCGATTCCGGCTTCTCTGTTTGAAAACTGTTACCATGTTTCCCCTTAGCTTGCTTCTTAACAAACAAACAAACACACACACACACAAAACAAAACAAAACAAAACAGTAAGTTGCACGTCAAATGCTACTTTTATACAAATAAAACAAAAATTAAATGCTTGCTTAGAAAAATCTTAGGTATCCAATGTAAACGTTTGCAATCCGCCCCTGAAAGCGGAGACTCCCTAATATATAGTGTAATGTGCTCTGCAAACCGCAGGACCTTACCACGGTGCTTGACAACGTGCATAGGTTCAGGTATCTAGGCGTTTCCTAAAGGAAATCCATGGATTCCTTACTGTACCTGTTACCTACTTATTACAGTGAATCGGGAGAAAGAATTGTCCGCCCCAGAACGAGATGTCCTAGGTCTCAGAGTTGCGGGGAAACCGCCCTGGGGCTCGGCTCTGGGCTGGCAGCAGCCGCTTCCCTCGGAGTCAGCCATCTGCATGGCTCGTTGAAATCATCAGGTTGGGTGCTATGAAGGTGTAAAAGGAGGGAAAGGGGCTTTTAATGTGACGGGGTTGGAGAAGTCAAGCGGGAATTCAGCTTGAGGAAAATGAAGGTAGCATTTACAGTCCGAAGTACCCTCTCCGGAGCTCACGGCTGCGTGTGCAGTAGGGTTTTTCCCCGGTTCATTTCCAACTCATTCTCGGCTCTCCTCCAGCTACACGATAGACCACATTACAAGCCACAAGCATCGGAGGCTTCATTCCTCACAAAGAAATGAGAAAAATCTAAGAACACAAAAAAGCCGATACCTGCTCTAGAGGTTTATAAACGCTAAAATTAACACCTGCAGTGCTGCAGTTTTAACGTGTGTGTGTGTGTGTGAAGAAACAACGCATTGAAGGAAAAAAAATAACCAGGAGAAAGGGAGATGAATTAAAGAAAGTACCAGAAATAGCTACATACAAAGATATAGAAAACTTTCTTTCATATATGCCGCAGACAGGCATCCTTTGACTATCATCTGAACCTCCAGTGCCCTAGGGTAACTGCATTGTCACCATTAACACTAAGGGAGATGATGACGGGGACCCCTGGTGGGGAAGCAGCGAGTTAGGGGAGAGGATGTCTTCGAGGTACCGGAATCTGGAAAACTAAGGTGTCAGTAGGGAGTGAGAACCTGTTATTAGGGATACTTCAGACTCCGAGTGATACGGGGTCAAGAAGTAAGTAGAACGGGGTGGGGTAAGCAAATGATTGAGGAGTATGGAGTCTCAGAGAAAACAGGGGGCCGCAGAGAAAAGTAGAAGAGTCGAGAGAGCCGCAGCACCCCAGCGGTCTGTCGCTCGCCCCCGCCTTCCTTTTGCGCAGAATCCTCCTCCGGCTGCAGCAGCGCTGCCCCCAACGGCCGCGCGCGCTGTGATCGATCGCAGGCTGCGTCAGAATTCTCCCTGCATATAAATACGGGTGGCAGAACCGCGCCGAGCCGCACACAGCCATCCATCCTCCCCTCTCCCTTTCCCTCTCCCTCTTTCTCCCATTCTTCTTTCTCTGTAGGCCTCTGTCCCCACCGCCAGTCAGAGGGGCACCGACCGCCACCATGAGTTCCTTTAGCTACGACCCGTACTACTCGACCTCCTACAAGCGGCGCTACGTGGAGACGCCCCGGGTGCACATCTCCAGCGTGCGCAGCGGCTACAGCACCGCGCGCTCCGCTTACTCCAGCTACTCGGCGCCTGTCTCCTCCTCGCTGTCCGTGCGCCGCAGTTACTCGTCCAGCTCCGGCTCCTTGATGCCCAGTCTCGAGAACCTCGACCTGAGCCAGGTAGCCGCCATCAGCAACGACCTTAAGTCGATCCGCACCCAGGAGAAGGCGCAGCTGCAGGACCTCAACGACCGCTTCGCCAGCTTTATCGAGCGCGTGCACGAACTGGAGCAGCAGAACAAGGTCCTGGAAGCGGAGCTGCTGGTGCTGCGCCAGAAACACTCGGAGCCGTCGCGCTTCCGGGCACTGTACGAGCAGGAGATCCGCGACCTGCGCCTGGCAGCAGAAGACGCCACCAACGAGAAGCAGGCGCTGCAGGGCGAACGTGAGGGGCTGGAGGAGACTCTGCGCAATCTGCAGGCGCGCTACGAAGAGGAGGTGCTGAGCCGCGAGGACGCGGAGGGGCGGCTGATGGAAGCGCGCAAAGGCGCAGACGAAGCGGCTCTCGCCCGAGCGGAGCTAGAAAAGCGCATCGACAGCCTGATGGACGAAATCGCCTTTCTGAAGAAGGTGCACGAAGAGGAGATCGCCGAGCTTCAGGCGCAGATCCAGTATGCGCAGATCTCCGTGGAGATGGACGTGTCCTCCAAGCCCGACCTCTCCGCCGCGCTCAAGGACATCCGCGCCCAGTACGAGAAGCTGGCTGCCAAGAACATGCAGAACGCCGAAGAGTGGTTCAAGAGCCGCTTCACGGTGCTGACCGAGAGCGCCGCCAAGAACACCGACGCGGTGCGCGCCGCCAAGGACGAGGTGTCCGAGAGCCGCCGCCTGCTCAAGGCCAAGACCCTGGAGATCGAAGCGTGCCGGGGCATGAACGAAGCGCTGGAGAAGCAGCTGCAGGAGCTTGAGGACAAGCAGAATGCCGACATTAGTGCTATGCAGGTACCGCACTAGGCGAAACACAGCGGGGAGCGGGAGAGGGCCGCATAATCGAGTTGCGGCGGAGGTGTCGAGGACGCGCCCAGAAAGTGGAGACCGGAGATGAGGCCTCTACAAGCAGCTGTCAGGCTGCAGGACTTGGCTCCTTTGACTGTGTGGGAAGGGTGGGGCACTTGGGGGGCTGGAGTGGGGGCGCGACTGCAGTCTGGGAAGTCATGCTTGGTGCAGTGGATTTCACGTTTCCCATTAAAGCTGCCCACACTGCAGGGTGTTAGGTGGGGTGGGCGAAGTGGTGGGGGTGGGAGCTGGGCACGCCTCCGGCCCTCCTCTCTATTGTCCTGCTTCAGCCACCAGTTGCTCTGCGGCACGGATTGGACTGTCTGGTTAATACAGCGAAGAGCTCTCATTAGCTCTGAAGGATGCTTGTGACCAGCATGCTTTCTGACTAGTTTTACTAATCACTCCTTTCCCTTAGTAGGCAGACAAGAATACAGCCCAAATCGTAGTAGGTAATGATGTTCACAGTAAGACATTTCTTTTTTAAGGATATCCATCTTCTGGGGAGGAGAAAAAATAATGTAGATAAGTAGAAAATATCTTAGATAAATTTTTTTTTTTAATCTAGCTACTTCCTTCACCTATAAAGAAATGGATTACTTTCCTGTGACCTGGATAAAGTTAACCAATGAATGAGAAAAGTCAATTTAGTTCCTTTTAATGATGATCATTAGACAAAAGAATTTTTTCCAATCAAATAATTTTTTCCATCAGTTTTTTAAAATTATTTTTTTGCTGTCATGTTTCATGAAGCTGGTTTTTTTTTTTTTTTTTTTTAAGGCAAGGAAAGAAAGGTTAAAAAAGAAAAGGCAGTTGATTTAGGAGAAATTTCATCTAAGGTGGGCACTTTGCAGCTATACTGCAGTAAAGTGATAGCAGTAGGTGTACGTGCTTGGATTTCTTTTCTTTCCTTTCTTTTTTTCCCAACAGGACACAATCAACAAATTAGAAAATGAGCTGAGAACCACAAAGAGTGAAATGGCACGGTACTTGAAAGAATACCAAGACCTCCTCAATGTGAAGATGGCTTTGGACATTGAGATTGCAGCTTACAGGTAAACACTGAGGGTCAGAGGCTGCAGCCATTCAGCCTCGGGACAAAATTCAGACTTCATTTATGTTGAATTGGAAAACTTCAAGAATAATCCTTTGAAATAATTGTTTGTTCTTTGGATTTTTCCAAGTAAGTATTTAGATAACTATATTAGAATTTAATTATATAAGTCCTATCCTTACCTTTCTATTACATTTAAAATTTAATAGGACCATTTTTTTTTTAAAGTTTTTTGTTGTTATTGTTATTGTCGTTCTGTCTTAGTCACAGTATCCCCAGTCATTAGGTTTTGGTGATTGCCATCTTGCTCTAGTTTGTGCCTTTAAGGATGGCATTAGGGGAAGATGATGCTTAATAGGCTCAGAGCAAGTCATTCAGCACACTTCCTGCATTCATGTCTGTTAACTGCACCATGCCCCTGCTTCCTCAGGAAACTCCTGGAAGGTGAGGAGACCCGGCTCAGTTTCACCAGTGTGGGAAGCTTAACCAGCGGCTACTCCCAGAGCTCCCAGGTCTTTGGCCGATCCGCCTATGGTGGTTTACAGACCAGCTCCTACTTGATGTCGGCACGCTCCTTCCCTTCTTACTACACCAGCCACGTCCAGGAGGAGCAGATTGAGGTGGAGGAGACCATTGAGGCTTCAAAAGCTGAGGAAGCCAAGGACGAACCCCACTCTGAAGGAGAAGCTGAGGAGGAGGAGAAGGACAAGGAAGGGGCAGAGGAAGAGGAGGGAGCAGAAGAGGAAGAAGGTAGGATAAAAAGACAAACCCCTCCAACTTCAAGTGCAAACTTCATGTAGATATTTGTTAGTAGGTGGATAAGATAAATGAAGCATTGTTTATGCCAAAGAAGTTCCATTCCAATATGAGTTTACAATGTTAAGATATTGTTTATCCTGTAGTGAGCATCTGGTTGGCTGTTCTCCCAAAGGTACACATTTCTCCTTAGCTTGGCAGTTTCTTGAAAATAGCATTTAAAAATATACCTCCCCCACCCTTGCCCCTGCTGTCTTCATTCCTACTAAACAGTTTCAAATATTTTCATTAAACATGGCAGTGTGGTGTCCTAAAGAATGAAAGTGAATATCAGGCACATGATAAAAGAAATTCTGAGGTCCTAGAAAAGAATAGAGCTTCCAGGACCTAGAAGTCATCTCATTCTATCTAAATATGCGTTCTTGGCAGTATTGTTGGTCGCATGTGTTTTGGGAAAGTAGAGCCAAGCGGTTTTGGGGAAGCATTCTGACATTTGTGATTTCCCCCCAAAACTAAGCAGAAATGTTTGGATTGGACTCACCCTGGATTGGGGGTTTGTACATTTTCTTTTTATGTTAAAGCTGCCAAGGAAGAATCTGAGGACGCGAAGGAGGAAGAAGGAGGTGAAGGTGAAGAGGAAGACAGCAAAGAAGTCGAAGAGGATGAGAAAAAAGATGAAGGTGCAGGGGAGGAGCAAGCAACCAAGAAGAAAGATTGAGGCCCCCTTTCCTTCATTATTCCAGGAATAATCCTCCCCAAATCAGATCAACCCCATCACCAACCAAGCAGTTGAGTTCCAGATACTATATGAATTAAGAAGTCAACATATGTATAATTCTGAGATGACTCAGGTTGGACATTAAATGTTGTGCTATGACTTTTCTCCTTATGCTGAGTATCTGTTTGCTTGCAGAGTGGCTTCCTGGCTTGCTGCCAGCCTGTGCATGGTCCATGCTTATGAGTTCAGGATCTGTGGCAATGTGAATAATTCAGATGTTTACAATTAAAAACATGTGAATAAGTGAATTCACTAATGTTAATGTTAAACTCCATGGAAAAAATAGTCCTTTGAACCTCTGGTGGTTAGAAATTAAAGACCTTGAATTATGTGCAATAAACAGTAAATAAAGTTACACTGAATGACATTTCTTGTGGTTGTTGACTTAATTCACCTATCTTAAAGAAGGCACCAGTATAAGCCACATACAAGTAAACTTGCCCTGCGGATTTTTCTTAAGCCGAAATATTAACAATTACAATGCATTTCTCCACTTAATTGGTAATTATGAGGGATACAGTTAAGTCATGACCATTTATGAAATATCTCCCTTCAAAAATTTTACTGAAAATGAACTTGAATAAACGGGAGTCTCTGGAGTTATTTTTCTTTTAAAATAAATAGTAATATACTTTGCCCCATAAAATGTATAATATAGTGTTAGGAATGGCTTTCTTGCAGGCGATTCTGAAATTATATGTTAAACATACACTTGATGGCAAACAGGTACCTTTAAAACTAGTATATAATAATAAATGCAATTTGGATAGAATATGAGTCCCACCTGGCCATCATTATAATCACATTAAAATATAGAGTCTAACTATCATGAGCAGAAGTTGAACCCAAGCAAATGACATAATCAGAAGGAATAATTTTTTAGAAATGTACAATTTTGGACAGAGAAAGTAAAAACATCAAAAGGTATTTGTCATTGCAAACATATTGCCTGCAATCCTGAGCTCATGATTTGGTGTGTTGTTAGCTTAATTCTGTTGCCTCAAATAAATAACATTTAATGCCACCTATTGTAAACCTTTTAAAAACTACAGAAACAGATAATGAAATTGTTATAAGTAACTAAAGTGGGGGGGGGGAGATTCTATATGTGTATGTTATGTTGCCACGTGTCTGCATGTGTATTGACAAATACTTGGATTTAAACGATAGCTCTGACTGGTTGGACACTGCATCAGCTACACACCCCATCGGTCCCCTCCGTCCACTGTAAAGTTGTGAAAGCTCTTGCACTTGCACTTGATGTGGAATGTTGATGAAATTATTATCTGCTGTTCCACTCTGTTCTTACACAATTGCTTTGTCAGTTAATTTTGTTCAATATTTGTTCTTTAGATAACTTTTAAAAATTATGGATTTAATTGAAGGCAAAGTGGTCTCCATTTAAAGTTATCCGATCCCTTCACATTACCTATTTCTAGTTAAATATATGTCACCAAGTAAATAGGTAAAATACTGCTTTATCTATCATGGTACTATGGATTTGAACTATGAAGATTCTCAGTACATTGACTTCTGTAAAGACTAGGAGTCACCTCAGAAACCAAGCTTTTCACAGTTATGTTCATGAAATGTGGAATGTTGCATATGGTAAACCTCAGAGAGATGCAAATTACATGTAAAAAAGTAAATTTAGCCAAATGGAAACAGCTGGTTGCTTTGAGAATTATTTGAACATTGTACCATACTCTATCCTGTGTGCCATAATAAAATACTGAAAAACCTAAACTAAGTGGATTTGAAGTTTTTTTTTAAAAAATGTCCTCAAATTTGGTACTTTATTCAGTACCTTCTCCCTTCTGCCCCACCTCCCCACAAACTCCAATTGTCTTTCAGTAGTCTCTCTCCCAGTTAATGATGCCACTTCCTACTCATCCAATTCTACAAGCTAGAGACGGGGCATGGCATCAGACTGCCTATTTCCTCTACTCAGTCCCTCTAGGCTAATTTATTACCAAGTCCTATTGATTTTACTGCCTACATATGCCGAATACATCCACATTTCTCCAGTGACGCTGCCACCTCTCCAAGAAACCTCCCACTGCCTACACTTGTCCTTGGATCAGCACACAACAATAAGCTAATGTTTTAGAAAAGAGAATTTGATTATACCATCCCCTTGATAAAAACTCTCCAATAGTTTCCCATTTTTTAAATATAGGAACCAAACATTTTAAGGTGCTCTTCAAGGCCTGCATAAACTTGACCCCAAACTATTTCTGTGACCTCATCCTATGTGTACCCCTGTGCCCCTCTCTTCTGGTGCTCCTGCACCCTGGCCTGCTGCCCTCCCACCTGCCACAGGGTTTTTGCTGGTTTATCTGTCTGGAGTTCTCTTTCTTCATTCCTTCCCTCAATGTTGCCCAGATTTAGGCTTAGTTATTTTTCTCTTGTGGAAGCGTCCCTTGACTGGACCTAATTCCTCCATTAAATGCTTAAGATCATGTAGACTTTGTAGACTTTGTAGACTTTTACATACTTGTAATCAGCATCAATTTCCATGATCGTTTGAGAAACATCTGCATCGCCTGCTATAGTGCAATCTTCAGAAGATGTCAGTCTGACCTCTTGCTTGCCATTTGTCTCCTAGCAACTAGCACCTTTCCTACCACAGGAGAGCATAATAGATATTAATTGAATTTAAAAATTCTTGCTAGATTAAAATGCCTTCAGGATGACTAGAAAGCCAAGAGTAGTTAATAACCAGTCCCAATCTAGTCAACACCTTGTGGAAAGAGCAGAAAAGAAAGAATCAAGTGTCTATTCTGGATTCTAGCCTTGTTAGTCATGGTTCTCTGGCCATCCTCACCCCCACTCTCACTCTGGCCTCAATCTTCTCAGCTGCATCAGGGTTCAACAGCTGATGTCTCAGATCCTTTCTAGAATCATCATTCAAAATTTCCTGAAAAACTTTTACAAGCTCAGACTAAATAGCTGAATGTGAAACACACATATAACTATTATGTTCACATGAAAATCCATCACTCTAAGGGAATTATTAAACTTAATGTCCAGTTTCATTCCTAGAATTAAGTCGGTAAGCAATTAATTTGATTTCTTTTTTTTTTCCACATGGAGATTCTAGTGCTGTTAGAATAGTTACTATGTCCCAGGCAGTGATCCAAGTGCTTATAAGTATTAACTCATCAATTCCTTTCTTACAACAATGGTATCAGTCCAGTATGATTATCCTCCTCATTTTACAGATGAGGTATTAAGGTCAGGTAACTTAACCGAGGTCACATAGGTAGTTTGCGGCAGGACTGACATCCAAACCTCACAGTCCAGCTCTGAAGTCCATGCCCTGAACTGATACACCCACTGTCTCCTTTGCCATCTATCTTGGGAGGCATCCTCAGGAAATCAGAGCATATTTTCTCAGGTGTGTGTTGTGACCGTGGCCTGGGAGTTTCCACACAATTATTGAAATTCTTATAAAGCATTCAAGGGGTTTACATTCACAGCATTCCATTGTACTTACTTAGGATGCGCAAGCTTTTCTTGAATCCCTTTGATTATTTTTCTCCATATCTCAATCCCTCTGCTTAATTTGAAGCTGTTGGAAGGCAGGAATCAGATTTTATAAACAGATGAAATTAAAGTTAATATTTTCAAATCATCCTTGGAAAGGTGTAACAGCAGACCAAACAAACAAACAAACAAACAAACAAATAAATAAATTTCTTTCATAACACAACATCCAAAGTGCCTTGTGTTTAGTGGGCATCTTAATAAAAGTTTCTAGAATGGCAAAGGTTTAGTATTTGCGAGAATCTTTCATAAACATGGACAGGATGGAGAATCTCTTTTCTCGCTTGGAGACAGAGTGTGAGATGTCAGAATTGACCCAGCCATGGTTCATACAGGCGTATGTCATTTTATTGCATTTCGCTTTATTGAGCTTCGCAGATGCTAGAGTTAAGCAGGGGAAGGTGACATGACCTTTCTGTTTCATAAAGACCACTCTGGCTCTAGTGTAGAGAATGGATTCAGGGAGGCAGGAATCAAAGTAGAGAGACTAACTAAATGGGTGTTTTAGTTCAGGTAAGAGAAGATTGTATGTGACTTAGAAAAGGACAGTAGCAGTAGAGATAGTGTAATGTGGTGTGTTTTAGGAAAGTTTTGAGGTTTTTTGTTTGTTTTTTTACTGGCAGGATAAATGCATGAAAAGAGACAGTTGTAAACATTATCTTCTTTTTGATAACTACATATTTCAACAAATTAACATGTAGTATGTATATTAGTTATCTATTGCTACATAATATATCACTCCAAAGCTTTGTGACTTAAAACAACCCAATCACTCATTATTTCTTAGTTTCTGCAGATCAGAAATTTGGGAGTGGCTCAGTTGGGATATTCTGGCTCTGGTTCTCTAATTGGGTTGCAGTCAGACGTTGGCTGAGGTTACTGTTACCTGAAGGCTTGGGTAGGCCTGCAGAAGGTGGCTTACTCACTTGGCTGGCAATTTCTTCTCCATATGGGTCTTTCCATGGAGCTGCTTGAAGATCCTTGCAACATGGCGGCTGGCCTCCCCCAGACCAAGATCTCCAACAAACCAAGGCAAAAGTTGCCATGTCATTTATGACCTAACCTTGAAAGTCACATATCATCATTACCACTTATTCTCTTGGTCTTATTCAATATGAGAGGGAACTATAAAAGTCCAGAAAAACCAAAAAGTGAAGATCACTGGTGGCTACAATAAGATAGTGCGCATGTAATTCTTTCTTTTATAAACAATCATCCATTCAAGAGATTCCAAAACAATTCCAGCTTCAAGTATTTTCCTTGTTCTCATAAGTATACTCATTCTTATTTGATCACGTGTCCCAATTTAAGTTTAAAAATATGTTAATGAAAATTATAGGCAGCTTTGGCAATGAATATCTTCATCAATGGAGAGCTTCATCTTTGTCCTTTTAGGGAAGTATTTAGCAATTCTCCTAATGGGGTTATGTGTTCAAAAGACATTATGTACATTTTAATAGATGTTGATATTTAACCTCACATTTTTTCTATAAAGCTTGACAGCTACACTTCAAGGCCTTAGCTTTCTTGCATTAATTCATTTGAAATGAAATGTATATTATTTTAATTGAGATAAGTATCGTGGCAGCTAATATACAACTTATGGTAAGTTATCACAGAAAAATAAAAGTGTTGATTGTTTTGCGAAAGAGTGAACCTCATCACAGTTGACATGTTAGTTTTTTTTTTTTTTTTAATATCGTAGGTTCTGATATAGGGCACACATGATTTAAAATGGGACACTTCTAATAAGCAAAAGCCATGTTGATAACAAGTAGTTTTAAATATGAAGTGGCTTCATAAATAAACTGAGATGCTGTAGATGAGGCTTAGGTTTCTTAAAGGTATTAAAGACATTTTCATTTGTATATTGATGACCGTTAATCCCTTTACTTTTAGCTAAATGTCATTCTTTCAATCTATGACCACTCTACATCCTTATAATTTCATATGGAGCATAGGCCATTTC